AACGTGGCCAGCGTGATGGGCCGCATGTCCTTCTTCGGTGGAGGGTACTGCATCTCCAAGTACGGCGTGGAAGCCTTCTCTGACAGCCTCAGGTAAGTCCAGACAAACGGGCTTCAGCATGATTTCCTAATTTGTTTTCCTGGACTTTGTCTGGCCCAGTGATCAACTCCCATCCTCGCACAACCGTCACTGAGCACAGGTTGAACTCGGATCTGCTGCTGAAGTGTGAGCAGCTCCTATCCTGGCATGGAGCCTCCCCTCTGGACACTGCCCCTGTCCAAAATCCTGCAGGACATCACCCTGCTGCCCCAAGCTTTGCTTTGTTCCCAACCCATCCGGACGTGGCAAATGTTTGCTGGCACACCATCTCAGCCACGTGCCAGGCTGGCACAGGACCCGCTGGCATGGTCAGGCTCTGCTCCGCGCCTCTGGCATGAGGCTGCATCCCATGGGAGGTGTGGGCACGGACACGCTTGGGTGCTGCTCCCGTGTCCCACGGGACTCCATCCCTTCCAGGCTGGAGATGCACAGCTTCGGGGTGAAGGTCTGCGTGATCGAGCCAGGCTACTTCAAGACAATGATCACCAACGTTGAGAACCTGGAGAAGAATTTTCATGACAGCTGGGGGAAGCTCCCTGAGGAAATCAAAGCGAGTTACGGGGAGAATTATTTAAGGGAGTGTAAGTACGTCCCCCAAAGGCTGAGCGATCCTCTTTCTCCCCTGACACAAGGCACATCCCCAGGGCCACGAGGGTCCCATGGGCGGTCCCATTGCCTCAACACTCCATGGAACCACTTGGCTCTGCTGGGCTGCAGGGTCTCAGTGGCTTTTTCTGCCTCTGCAGATGTGGCATTGCTCAAGGTGCTGCAGAAAGCCTACAGCTCCAACCTGTCACTGGTCACCAACTGCATGGAGCACGCGCTGACCAGCCTCCACCCCCGCACGCGCTACTCCGCTGGCTGGGACGCCAAGCTGCTCTACATCCCCCTCAGCTACCTGCCCTCAGCGCTCAGCGACGCCCTGTTCACCTTTTTCTACCCCAAATCTGCTGGGAGAGCCTAAGGTGGGGTTGGAGCTGGCAGCCAGAGTGAGATCAATAAGACCTGGTGGGATCCAAAACTGGCTGCAGCCAAGGCTACACCGAGGTCCCTGAATCTGTAACTGCATGTCCGACCCTCTGTCCCCTGCTCACGGATGGGTTTGTCCTGAATAAAGACCCTCTGTCCCCTCCTGGCTGAGCGTGGTGTCACTCTCAGGCTGTGGCACCAAGGCTGTGCCTGGGGGCTCTGGTTCTTCCCCTGAGCACCTGCTGCGTTCAGGATCCAGCCCCAGACAAGTTGCCAGGGGACTTGGCCAGACTGGCACCCCGGGATTGACACACGTGAGTAAAATTCAGACCTCTTCCAACTTGAGCAGATTTCCCTCTAGGCAAAGAACTGAGCAGCCTCTTACGGAGTTCTCCTCCTCTGCTTCCTCCTGCTCCTCCTGCAGAGCTGGTTGGGAGGGACCATCCTGCTCCATCACCACG